TCATGGAAAAACAACTTATGTCGAGATTGCAAGAAAATTAAGGTCGAGATCACAAGAAAACAACTTTTTTTGTTGTTGTTGATCACAAAAAAACTTGTTGAGATCACAAGAATACAACTATTTTGTTGTAGACCATGAGAAAACAAGTTCATTATTTATCTCGAGATAATGAGAACACAACTATTTTGTTATGTTAAGATCACGAGAAAACAGCTCTCCATGTCACGATAAGACAAACTATTTTTTTTTTTGTCGAGATCACAAGAAAACAAACATTCGTTACGTCAAGATCATGAGAAAATCGAGTCACAATAAACAACTATTTTGTTATGTTGAGGTGAAGAGAAAACAAACTTTGTTGAGATCACAAGAAAATAACAAATAAAGAAAAAATATAATGCATGGCCTTTAGGGGCTTCCATAATTTTAAGCACAATAGATAACAGTATAGTTATTTATTTTGAAAAAGAGTGCTCCCAGTTGGCAAGCCATGCATATCTGGAAATGCAATACTATAAACCTGTACAGGCTTCTTTCTTCTGAAAGAATAGTTCAAAATGAACATTCTGTTATCATTTACTCAACCTCAAATTATTCCAAACCTGAATTTTTTTCTTCTTCTGCTGAACACAACAGAGGATTCAGCAGAAACTAATCAGGTTTGGAATAATTTGAGGCTGAGTAAATGATAACAGAATGCTCATTTTGAACTATTCTTTGAATCCAGCAAGTTTGAGAACCACTGATGTAGAAGTTTCACATACTGTATACACTCTTTCTCTTTCTCTTTCTCTTCCTGTCCACAACACAGCCGAGAAACAAGAGGTTAGGAGAGCGATCCTGAGCTGTTCCCTGAGTAATGTCAGAGAGGAGGAAGCTGATGAAGACGGAAGCGATGATGATGGTGATGAAGAGACATAAATCGCCTCATAGAAAATACTTTAGACGAGTAGTTTAACCATGCAGTAATCAGGGAGATGTACTGATAGTAAAGGGTTCATGTGGAGCCCCAACATTTTTATACCACAAGACACATTTGCATTTTTGTTTTCTGCAGCATTTTGGGATTTGTAAATGGAGTGTATCATTCAGATTACTGATATTACTGTATGAACTCTGGCCATGTGCTGTGTAGGTCATGTGTAATTGTTTCTGTATTGATTAAAACGTTTATGTCATGTCTGTAAACGTCTCTTTCGAATAAACCAAATATGAACAACAATAAATGCTTCGATAGCAGAAACGGGATTATCTGTCTATAAAAAGTATGCGAGTGCAAGATTACACATACATTACACCACATTTTGCAGTTAAATGCACCAATCAGAATGGGCGAATCCGCGCATGCGCACCTCGTAAACCTGCGAGGCTTATAACCCACATCCGGGTGTTTACGGTTCCCGATTGGCGACCCGTCGCCATATGCCTGACATTATTTAGCTGAACTAAAATTTGGGTTAAAACCCATTTATTCATCCGTTTTCCTCTTTTGGAGAGCGGATAACGCCTTGTGGGGCGCAACACTTCCTACGCCAAGGAAAAACGGCGCTTTTCAAGGGGCGAGGCCCCGCTCTTTGGGCACTTGTTTTTTTGCGTTAGCACTGTTTTTACTGAGACATTTAGCTTGTGTCTCTGTTTTTCTCTCGGTTTGTTTGTGGTCAAGATGTCGCCGTAATGGGGTCTCCGCGTTTGACAGAAATGAATAAGGGCCTTCGTCGCCTGACCCGCATTCGCAACGACCCGTTGTTCTCCCCGTTTAATGCTAGAGAGCTCGGAGGCTCTTTCCCCGGAGTTCGGCCTCAATATGGAGAAAAACCCAAACGCCAACAACAGCAGCAGCACGAAGATCCCGCCCCGCTCCAGCTCTACAGGCTCGACTCCTGCAGACTCTAAAGCCAAAACAGGTAGAGAACCAGCGTTCAATACACTCTTATCGTGGCCAACTTTGCGGGGAAAGTGTGTGTGTTTGAGGCTTACGGCATGGTTTTGTTTGTGTCTGCCGAGACGTAGCCACGGCCAGCGATTGGCTCGTTTCCTGAATAAACAATGGAGGAATTCATACATTATCAGTCAAGATTGACCGTGTCAGAAATTCACTTTTGTTAAGAGGCCATATTTTCTCAGAATTATTATTATTATTTTTTTTAGGTAGGGTGACCATACGTGCCATTTTCCCCGGACGCGTCCTGGCCAGGATTTCTATATGGCTTTGATTCAAAGTACCTCGAGAGCGTTTCGAGAACACAATCGGGCTGCACACGCAAACAAAGCCAAGCCCTAGATATTTTAGGCAATGTGGAAATCCTGGCCAGGATGCGTCCGGGGAAAATGGCACGTATGGTCACCCTATTTTAGGGGTGTTTTACTTTCATAAGGTTATTAAAAATATTTTAGTCAGCTTATCAAACCAATAATAAACTAAACGACCTGTAAAATAATATATAAAGAAGTATATTCATTATAAATAAATATATTGAATTACATGTATATAAATTCAGGTTGTTTTAGGGAAATGCTAGGTTAGTACTTTAGGGAATTTAGATTGATATTTATTTTTATATATTTAAGAGAGTGAGACACACACACTGGCTGTGTTATGAGAAAATGAGTTTATATTAGATGGGTATGCGCTAACACGGATGAACACCAGAATAATACACTCAAACACACAGGCTGAAAGCTGTAAATTCTTGGAAAAAAGGCAGAACTGGTTTCATTGACTTTAAATCATGTAATGAGTATTATTAAATGTAATTTAATACCAGGATCACAAATGAAAAGGAACGGGAATCTAATGAAATGCGCAGGCAAAGTGAATAATTAAGGTTTTTTATTATTATTTGAAACATTTTAAATTTAAGCATTTAATATTCATTAAACTTGTAACCTTTCATTGGTTTTTGCCCCTTGCTGTTTTGTTTGTTTTATTAAATGGCATTCAAAAATACCAATTATGCAATTTAATGTATTTTAAACCAGTTCCTTTTTTCCCAACTTGTTCAGACTTGGTTTATAGACATCAGCCTATATGTTTATGTAATTTAGTCTGGTGTCAGTCTAAGTGCATATGTCCTCCCAATATAAACTCATTTTCTGATAACACAGACGTGTGTGTCACCCTACTATACAGATAAACCAATATCAAAACTGAATTCCCATAAACTAACCTAACAAACTAATTAACTAGCTTCAGTGGTGTATTGCCCTCTAGCTGGACCCAGACTATAGATGGACCCAGGAAAGCCTCCAGCATATCAGAATGAAATCACTGTAGATAAGAACTAAAACGGTGTCGTATATGTTTTAGTTTTGATGTGGGCTTGTGAACCATACGGGACGGCGGTCTCTGCTGACGGGTGATAAGCTGTGTGTGTTTACACCCCTCTGCTCTTATCATGTGGTCCTCTCTGAAACACTTTAAGAGCTGCACGTGACTGGATTGATTAGTTAAGACCGTGCGAATGACTGTTGTCAAAAATAATTAATTAAAATGACCCGGGGTTTCGTTCTACAATAGCTCAGCTCGCTGAGGGAAAACACACTTGAAGTTTACATTTACATGTAGTCATTTAGCAGATGCTTTTATCCAAAGCATCTTACAAATGTGGACAATGGAAGCTATACAAATTTTTTTTTTAATGTTGCATTCAAGAAAATTAAATATTTTTCCGAAGTTGCAGGGACAGCCCCTTGTCTAATAAAATGGTATGCTTAAGAGTAATATATTGATGTTTTTTGACATTTCTCCTTTTTCCCCCTGTTCTTTAAGATGGTAAGAATAATGGTGGCTCAAAGCACTATAGTCGCAAGCGTGAGCCCACATTTGCCAAGGCTGAGAGCTTTCCGGGCCCACGCCGCTCCCAGCCACAAAAAAGCAAGAATTTTGACAAGAGACCCCCTCAGAGAGGTGGCGGAGGGGTGCGACAGTATGGACTCGCTGGTGGTGGGAGAAGAGAAGAGGTGCGTTTAAATAAGCCTTTGGATTATGATTCATTTGAACTTCCGTGAACGGCTGTTTTTATGCTTCCTTATTGCATGTTAATGTAAAGGTTGCAGTGATCATGCTGGTTAATTAAACACTAGCCTGTAATGCAACGTAAACAAACAGACCTGTATATGGGTTAACCAGGATTAACTGTTGGATTCTGTGATTAGGTAGCAGAGAACCACCGGGCAGAGTTTAGCCCGGCTCAGTTTGCTGGACCCAAAAAGATAAGTCTGAACCACCTGCTCAACTTCACGTTCGAGCCACGAGGAGGCCATTTTGGCTCCGCAGTTGATGGCCACTACTGCTGGGGTCGCCGCAACAAGTGGGGTCACAAACACAAGCCCTTCAACAAGGAGCTTTTCTTGCAGGCTAAGTGAGTACAGCAGAGTATGTTGCAAACATTTATATGAATTGATATAAAATCACGTGCAACAATACTCTGTGTACTGCAGTGTTATCATAAGCTGATAAAATGAGAAAAATGCTAAGCTGATGAGTGTATTTTCCCTTTGTCCACCAGTTGCCAGTTTGTGGTAACTGATGATCAGGACTACCAAGCCCACTTCACTGATCCGGACACTTTGGTGGACTGGGACTGTGTGCAGCAAGTGGTCAGTTGAGGCTTCACACTTCCTTGTACATCCTGTTAGTGCCTTTTCTACAAATCTCAGCGTGTTCATCATGGTGTTTTTTTTCTCATTCCACACAGCGCATCTACAGTCACGAGGTGCCGTCTTGTCCGATCTGCCTGTATCCCCCTGTGGCGGCCCACATCACGCGCTGCGGCCACATCTACTGTTGGCCATGCATGCTGCACTACCTCTCTCTGAGCGAGAAGAGTTGGTCCAAGTGCCCCATTTGCTATGAGGCCGTGCACAGCGCTGATCTCAAGAGGTTTGTACAGAAAACACCGGTTTATAATGCTTGTTTGGTTTTTAAATTAATGTTAACATCATGATATAGAAATCTGTTATTTTATTTAAATCAACCCCTGGCATATCGAAGTGCCATAATTCAGTCAAGACATTGTTGTCACTGAAGCCTGTCTTGTCATCTTTCAGTGTGGTTGCAATGGAGACGCGTCAGTATGTGACTGGTAACGTCATCACTATGCGTCTGATGAGGAGAGAGAAGGGATCGCTGGTGGCTCTTCCCAGCTGTCAGTGGGTGAAGGTGGAAGAGCCCATTCATTTTGGAGGTGAGACATTTTGCTGTTTGCGTGAGCCTTTATGGTGTTCATTTGAGTGGGTCTTATTTGACACATTTCTTTCATTTGTTGCAGATGTGCATTTGCGCGCATACTCTAAGCTGCTGTTGGCATCTCAGGAGCAGGTTTTGGGTTTGCTGAGTGAAGAGAGGGTGGCTCTCCGAACCCAGCTCAGCCAAGAGAAAGACGACCCGCAGGCCTGTTTCATACAGAGCGCCTTGCTGCAGCTGCAGGTACACATGCATTCACGCTGGCATATGAATGTTGGGTTGGCCAAGTTACAAACCACTTAAACCTGAAACAAGCTAAACAAGTGAAATAAACACTGAATTGTGTAACATATGTAGTTTATTGTATAATTTATTACAGAAAAACAATGAGAATTTGGGTTGACGGCACCAAACTTCATTTACATGCAACAATCTTCTGTTTCGTAAACTGTTTTTTGAAACTAAAAATTACAGTGACGTTTAAAAATAGCTGAAAAAATAACCTGAAAACTTACATGACTTTGGATCGTGTTGCATAACTTTCTGAGAATACTTTGGTTAACTTAAAACTGCACAAAAATAATTGAAAACGAAGTTGCTAGAAGTTACTTAAATAGCTTAAACTACATTTAAAGCTATTTCAATAACTTGCATCTTGTACCTCAAGTTAATGAATAATCTGTTACATATAAATGATGAGAATTTGGGTTGACAGCTTGAACAACTGACTTTAATGTTTTATAAACATCTGCTTCATAAACTATTTTATAAATCTGAAAATGTATAATGTGACATTTAAAAAAGGCTGAATTTTTACTGGAAGTGCTACATGACATGGAAAAAGCATTGAGCTATGTTACACTATTAGTTTTTTTTTGTGTGTGCGTGTTATTTATTCCCTAACACTGCACACAAAACACACAACCCTCACATGTTATCTCTGACTCTGAACGAACAGGAGCGTGAGGAGCGTCTTTTGAAGGGAGGCTGTAAAAATGGTGGTTCTGTTGATGGGGCGGACATGAGGAAGCTGTCTCTATCTGAGCACTCCTCTCCAGAGGTGACCGTGGTCAAGAACCTCACAAATTCAAAGGTTGGTAGAGGCAGTGCTCCTTTTAGCATAAGGTTAAGTTTTAGTCCAGTGCTGAGTTGCAAGTTTATAGCTTTCAATTTTATGAGACACATATGGAGTGATCTTGTGATCAGGTCACCTGATTGAGTGAACAATATTCAGTGAATTATTCCACTGCAGTTCACATGTAATTTGTCTCCCGAAACTCCCATCATGTTAGTGTTTTTTTTTGTAGAGACTCTTTAAAGTGTTACATTTTAAAGCTTCTCTTTTCTTTACTTCTGATGCATAATATTTACTTTACTATGGGAATGTTTGAAATGTAGAGAAACGGCATGGACCAGATACCTTATTTATCTGCAAATCGAATGAAAGCATTTGAACTTTTCTGTAAATGTTTATAAAATTCAGTAAATCACTGTAAAATTCTGGTAACAAAAGCTCAGTGCATGACTTATGTATTCTAACACAGCCCATCCTGCAGTATGCTTCAGCATTTGATGATGAGCTTCAGAAGGATCATGAGGAGCCTGTGGAAGAGATGGCTGCTCAGAGTATTCCTGAGGTGGCCGAAGAGATGCCTGAAAGAGCTGTGGAGGACAATGCGCTGTCTGCTGAGAGAGTACGGGAGCCTGGAGAACAGCCCTCAGTCTATCACCGCTACCGTAGTGGAGATTGATGGACAGACTGTCACTGAGGTACACGCTCATCTCTTAATTCTCACATTCATGTCACAGAATAGCAGTAGCTATTGTCAGGACTCAGGATGGCATACTAGTTAACTGCTTACTGGAGTGAAAGAGCAGTGTGGTATGATGCTGTCATGCCTAGTGTCTGAAGCAACAGCACCACTAAAGCATGACAGATAAATGTACTTTTTGCTGGTGTGCATTTATAACAGTCTCACAGGATCGGGTTTTGAACTGATTCTGTAATGCCTAGTGCCTACTATGAAACTAATTGACATTTCATTTGCAGGATATTCGCCGTCGACATCGTTACCTCTCTCACCTGCCGCTCACCTGTGAGTTCAGTCTGTGTGAGCTCAAACTTGAGCCACCCATTCTCTCAAAAGAGACCGTGGACAGCTTTGCAGGTACATAAACATAAACGATACACTATTCCACTCCATCATGAAACCCACAGAGATGAACAAAAGACGGGGGTTTAAGAGGCCATCCGCTGAAAGATTTTCCATATTTCAGTGATTTGAAAAGTTGCTTATGTTTACAAAGGCTGCATTTTTTTTGATCAAAAATACAGTAAAAGCAGTAATATTGTGAAATGTTACAATTAAGAAAAAATATATATATTTTTTAAAGGGGATATAACTGTTTCTGCCAATCTCATGTTAATCTTGAGCACCTATAGAGTAGTATTGCATTCTTCATCTCTCTGAAGAGCGTTTAATTTAATCAGATTTGTAAAAGACAGAAACCGCTTTACGCTTCTCTCCGAAAACATCCGAACACCTGGAGGCATGCCGTGGGTGGAGCTAAAGAGTCACGAGCAAAGCTTTTGCGTAGCGATCGTCTGCAAGCTGTGACATCAACATAAATAACTTTATTGACTTGAATGTTTGATAAACAAATTAAATAAAATTTGTTACCCAAGTGCTCTTGATCTCACTCTGGTTGACGAGTGTATGCGCACGCTCTTCCTGGAGAATTGCCCATACAAGGAATTGACCGTTCGCAAAAGACCCGCCCTCCTTACTTACTGTTGCCATCTCCGACAAACAATGCTGCTCTCACACGACACCTCACTGGTGCTCCTAGAAAAATTTTCATAGTCACATGCAGTAGGTTTCAGTCGCACTGTAGAGCCCTGTTTTTTCATTTTTTTTTGGTCAAGAAATTCAAACAAATACCGTTTTGTGACTCTTTAATATGTTGTGACCAAGCCGTAACCTCTCTCTCTCTCTCTCTCTCTCTCTCGTGAAGCCAACACGGAAGTGACTTAAACTGTAATTCGTCAACTGGCCGCTAGAGGCTGGCTGCAAATGGAAGTCAGTCCCATAGACTCCCCATGTTTACTGCCTGGTTTTGGTCTATATAGCTAATTTTTTCCCTTCATGTCAACTGTGAGGGGGTGAATATTTTTTATAAATAGTTTGATTTAAATCCCCTAAAATAAGGTCCGTGGTTCACACAAGCTCTAGATACTTTCACGGTTTATTCTACGACATAAAACGCACCAGTTACACCCCACTCGTGATTTAAAAAAAAAAACTGTTGCTAAATGGGACTACAGATGCTGTAGGAGACATTAAACATTATCACGCCGAACAGTTTATCAATTTACAATATTTTCCAATTGTAGTATAATTAATTGTAGAATAACCAGTTAAGGTTCCCGTGTTTTTTGTTCGACAATGTTTTTTGGTTTTGCCCCGAAATGAAACAAGTCTGCGGATGGAAGATTCTCGTTTTAACGCTGTCCTACTGATGCAGAGATTCTTGGTTCGTACCATAAGGTAAACTCATATGATTATCCAATGTAAACCCCACATTTACTGGCTTAGTCGCTGTGAAAGTGAAACTGATGATGATGCATGGTGCTTAGAGCCACGTTAAAATTAAATGTTTATGGCCACATATAGCTGTTAGAAAGCATGTAGATTGAGGATTTTCTAGAAGCAAGAATAAAATAACATTTTGTGTACCTATTCTAACATACAAACAACTAAAATAAGTTTAATCTTACCAAATCCAAAAACTCGCTCACTCTGTTATTTAATAGATTAAATGAACTATAATTGTATTGAATAGTACATGGAGACATGTATTTAATTTAAAATATTTGTATTAATCGAGGATTTATTGATTTTAATGCACCTTATTTCGAAATGTACAGAAATACATGCTTTCATTTGTCCTTTAGTTATGATTAGTTTATTTATTCACTATGCTATTTATTACAAATGTCTCATTTCAGCTTTAGTTTGGCTCTAGTTTTGTATTTATTCCAGTTTATATGAAAAGGTTCATACACAGAGTAAATCCTTTTCACTGAACATGTTAAAAATATGTTTGAAAAAGTTGTCGGAAACGTGGTGGTGACTTTGAAGGTGAACGACCGTAGTGTTGTAGTTCGTTTATAGCCTAAGTTTAGCTTTTAAGTTCTGGTGCTTTTATTTAGGCTTACATTTATAAAAGTTATATTATTTTGTAATATTGTCTCGATGGACAAAACGTGTAAGTTTCATGAACTGTGGTTGAACACAGAGCTTATTTTTTGAGATAATCCAAAAGCCTATGGAAAAATCCCATTGGCTTTTTGTCGAGGGAACCAGTGTTGATGCTAACAATCGATCCGCCTAGAAAGTGACGTCATGGTTCCCCCACTCTATTGAAAAAGTTTCAATTCAGTTTATCTTTTTTACCCCGGATTTCTATGGAGACTGGCCGTAACGTTAGCTGTCGGACGAGATGGCAGATCGCAGCGGCGGCACATAATATCCGCGTTCTGATTGGTCAGATCGCCTGTCAATCAAGCTCCCTGCGAACGGTTAATCTATTCCTGTAATGCAAAGCTAAATTTTCAGCATCATTACTCCCGTCTTCAGTGTCACATGAGCCTTCAGAAATCATTCTAATATGCTGATTTGCTGTGCAAGCAACATTTCTTATCAATGTTGAAAACCGTTGTGCTGCATAATATTATAAATGAATATTAACTGCTTATTAGACCTCAACATCCACCTAGATAAACCTCAGGCTGCAGACTTCCTCACTCTGCTTGCCTCTTTTGATCTCAAGAGAGTATTATCTACGGCTACTCACAAATCGGGCAACTAACTGGACCTTATTTACATACGACACTGCTCCACTGATCATGTGCTGGTTACTCCACTTACTCCACAGCACACCTCAGATCACTTCCTCCTCACTCTTAACCTCAACATGGTTCCTAAAACACATACCTCTCCACGTTTCATCTTTCGACGTAACCTATGCTCACTCTCACCCTCCTGGCTATCTGCTATGGTTTCATCTTCGCTTCCTCCCCCTAAACAGTTATCATCTCTTGATGATAACAGTGCTACTTCTGCTCCACTCTTGCATCTTGTTTAGACACCGTCTGCCCCTTGTCTTCCAGGCCAGCCCTTACCATCCCTTCTGCCCCTTGGCTGTCTGATGTTCTCCGCGAGCATCGTTCTAAGCTCAGGGTTGCTGAAAGGGTATGGCGCAAATCAAAAAATCCTACTGACGTTAATGTGTATCAGTCACTCCTCTCTTCTGTCTATGCTAATGTCTCCACTGCTAAAAGGACATACTATCATAACAAAATTAACAATTCGTCTAACTCTCGCATACTCTTTAAAACATTTTCCTCCATTCTTTGTCCTCCTCCTCCCCATCCTTCATCAACTCTAACAGCTGACGACTTTGCCACGTTCTTCATTAATAAAACAAACCATCAGTGCACAATTTTCCACACCACAATCTGTCAAGCACATCTTACCAGCATACACTCGTTCACATCCTTCTCTTCACTCTCTGAGGCAGAAGTCTCCAAACTCATCCTTTCTAATCATCCTACTACTAGTTAGGGATGGGCGATATGGGCTTAAAAATATGTCACGCTATTTCTGGTATTTATTACGATAACTATATCAATGACGATAATTCAGGGAATCCTGTTTCTTTTAAGAAGAGTATTATTTTTACCCAAAATAGGGTGCGCGTTAACCTCCTGAGACCCTGCATTCTCATATGAGGACATTTATATTTTAGTGAATTTCTCTGAGACTATACATGCCACAGTCTGGATGTCCTGTACAGAGCACATTCAGGGCTTTTCAGAGATACTAAATGTTTGGATGTTTCACCATGACCACCCCCTCTCCTTGGTCTTCAAAAATGTCTGATATTAATTTAGTGAAACTCTTATGGAAATACGATAATATTTTGTAATTGTCATTTAAATCGGACACATTTTTAAACTGTGTGTCATAAATCAACATCTTAGGAAAATGTTATGGGGTTTCAAATCAAAATATAACTTTGTTACGAAACAGGAGGTTGATTTCATACATGTCCTCATATGAGGACACTGGGACTAAAAGCATGTTTATTACGCATTTTGGGAGACACAACAAATGAATAGGGAAAAAAAAAATATTTCAATATTCCTGTGAAATATTATATATTATTATGAAAATCTTGTCAATTATTATTCTTAATATTACACTTTTTTTCATTACATGTTGCCCCAAAAACACATTAATATGCAAATTAGATTTAGTTTATAGATACATTTATATATAATGAGAAAACCTGTTTGTTGCCATTTTTACACACATTTTGCATGAAGAAAAATGGTATATCAAATCATTCTGTTATAACGTAGTTGAGAATTATCTTTATACAAAGTTTGGTAAAAAAAAACAAAACAATTTATCTATTGTTTTAAAAACAAATCTATTGTTTTTGCCTATGCATGTTAATTCATGTCTTTTTATTTTTAAGAAATTGAGTCCCGATGTCCTCTACCAAGGACATAGCATAACTTATGAATGAAATATCATTTTTGTTTACATTTTTTAAAATGCTCTAAACATTAATGTAATGACATCAAAAAATAAAAAAAAAATTTCCTAAAATGTTTTGCCAGGTCTTAAGAAGGTTAATGAGTTCACACGTTCACACGACTGTTTAAATCATACTGGAAGCCGGAGGGCGCTCTTGCACATTAACTCCACATATCCATAGCAGAAGAAATACTACTGACGATGCTCCAGGAAGGTAACCAGTTATCGCTGAATAAAACGCACAATGGAGGTAGAGACATTTTAACTGATGAAACTTGAGGAAAATAAACATACGACTACACAAAATATATGGTTTATCGGTGTTCTTCAATCTTGGGTATTTTTATAAGGAAGGTATAGTTATAATGCAATATTAATCGACATGACCTTTATCACTGTATATAATACTATCATTGTGTAATATGAAACGTTTGGTCACAAAAAGTAATATTTCAAACACTCGACTATGTTAAGTTAATTTGGAGAAAAAGCATGTCAATAAATTATATCTTTTAATGTAATGACATCAAAAAATAAAAAAAAATTTCCTAAAATGTTTTGCCAGGTCTTAAGAAGGTTAATGAGTTCACACGTTCACACGACTGTTTAAATCATACTGGAAGCCGGAGGGCGCTCTTGCACAGTAACTCCACATATCCATAGCAGAAGAAATACTACTGACGATGCTCCAGGAAGGTAACCAGTTATCGCTGAATAAAACGCACAATGGAGGTAGAGACATTTTAACTGATGAAACTTGAGGAAAATAAACATATGATTGCACAAAATATATGGTTTATCTGTGTTCTTCAATTGGGTATATAATGCAATATTAATCGACATGGCCTTTATCACTGTATATAATACTATCATTGTGTAATATGAAACGTTTGGTCACAAAAAGTAATATTTCAAACACTCGACTATGTTAAGTTAATTTGGAGAAAAAGCATGTCAATAAATTATATCTTTGTTGTTTACAAAGTTTTGTAAACCGGCTCATACACATGCAAAACTGTATCGCACACATGCTACTGTTGTACATTTATTCAGACGGATTTTTTTGTGCACTGTACAGCCCTAACCAAACCAGTTACAGCTCGAGCTCCTCATTTAGTAATATAGGCTACTCCTCAATTTCACGTCCGCTTTCCGTGATGTCGCTCTGCACTGTCACACACAGAAATGTCAACAACTAGACTTTATTGTTATCGCAGGAAGACTTAATTCTTATCGTGGGGAGAATTTTTACCGGTATATCGCAAACGATAAGATATCGCCCATCCCTACTACTAGTCTGCTTGGTCCTATTCCATCTCCTTCAAGCAATTTATCCTGCAGCTGTACCTGCACTCACTCACATCATTAACACATCCCTTCACAATGGTGTTTTTCCCTCAGCATTTAGACACTCGTATAACCCCACTACTTAAGAAACCCACTCTTAACCCATCTCTTTCCGAGAACTACAGACTGGTTTCCCTTCTTCCTTTCATTGCAAAAACACTTGAACGAACTGTGTTCAACCAAGTCTCTGCCTTTCTCACACAGAACAGCTACTCCTCAATTTCACGTCCGCTTTCCGTGATGTCGCTCTGCACTGTCACACACACAAATGTCAACAACTAGACTTTATTGTTATCGCAGGAAGACTTGATTCTTATCGTGGGGAGAATTTTTACCGGTATATCGCAAACGATAAGATATCGCCCATCCCTACTACTAGTCTGCTTGGTCCTATTCCATCTCCTTCAAGCAATTTATCCTGCAGCTGTACCTGCACTCACTCACATCATTAACACATCCCTTCACAATGGTGTTTTTCCCTCAGCATTTAGACACTCGTATAACCCCACTACTTAAGAAACCCACTCTTAACCCATCTCTTTCCGAGAACTACAGACTGGTTTCCCTTCTTCCTTTCATTGCAAAAACACTTGAACGAGCTGTGTTCAACCAAGTCTCTGCCTTTCTCACACAGAACAACCTCCTTGACAGCAACCAGTCTGGTTTCAGAAGTGGACATTCAACCGAGACTACCTTGCTCTCAGTTGTTGAAGCCCTAAGACTGGCAAGAGCGGATTTCAATTCTTCAATGCTTATCTTGCTGGATCTGTCTGCTGCTTTTGACATGGTCCTCCTGTCAACCCTATTGGCAAAGGGCATCTCAGGAACCACACTCCAGTGGTTTGAGCTTTATCCGTCAGATAGGTCCTTCAAGGTATCTTGGAGAGGTGAGGTGTCCAAGTCGCAACATCTAACTACTGGGGTGCCTCAGGGCTCAGTTCTTGGACCACTTCTCTTCTCTGTCTACATGTCATCACTAGGTTCTGTCATTCAGAAACATGGCTTTTCATATCACTGCTATGCTTATAACACTCAACTCTACCTCTCATTTCATCCTGATGATCCGACGATAGCTGCTCGCATCTCAGCTTGTCTAAGAGACATTTCTTGCTGGATATAAAGGACCTTCAACTCAACTAGGGCTGTGCGATATGGACAAAAACTTTTCCTTGTTTTAATTCTAGCCAAAAAGCCATGTGTTGACTGTGAAACAGTAGACTTTAATTATGTGCATTTATGGTGTAATTACTAAATTTCCGTGTCAATCCATGTTAATTTTTACCGCGAATAACGTGCTGTCACTTTAATTCAGCGCGTGCAGCACAGCAGAAATGGATTCCGTGCGGAAACGATCGCAGCATGACTGCTGCAGACGCACCGCTCGTGGAGCGCACTGCCGGACCGCAATCGCGTGCAGTGTGAACGCTCTGATCCGTTAACATGGGCGCGGAAAAAATATGCACCACAGATGGAGTGTGTGAACCTGGCGTTACGTTTGTATGCCTGCCCGGTCTGTTCTGTTCTCGTGCTCCATTTAGGCGTGCTGCATTCTGATTGGTTCGGATAGCATACTGCGGGGAGGTCGGGGGTGCGGAAAATCATGCTATAAAGCGATTTAGAAATCGTGCAAGCTCAAATCATAATTTTATGACTCTTTTGATTAATCGCACAGCCCTAAACTCAACCTTGCCAAGACAGAACTGCTTGTGGTTCCATCAAACCCATCGTTTCATCACAATTTCACCATCCAGTTAGACACATCAACCACAACTCCTTCAAAAAAAGCCAGAAACCTTGGAGTTGTGATTGATGATCAGCTGACTTTCTCAGACCACATTGCTAAAACTGCCCGGTCCTGCAGATTTGATTTATTCAACATCGAGAAGATAAGGCCCTTTCTTTCGGAACATGCTTCACAACTCCTTGTTCAAGCTCTTGTTCTATCCAGGCTGGACTAATGCAATGCTCTCTTGGCAGGTCTTCCAGCCAGTTCTATCAAACCTTTACAATTAATCCAGAACACTGCAGCAAGATTAATTTAATGAGCCGAAAAGAATGCACGTCACACCTCTGTTTATCCATTTGCACTGGCTACCAATAGCTGCTCACGGAAAATTTAAGGCATTGATGTTTGCCTACAAAACCACCACTGGCTATGCACCCATTTACCTAAATTCATTACTTCAGACTTATGTGCCCTCTAGAAGCTTGCATTCTACAAGTGAACGTAGCTTTACTGTGCCATCCCAAAGAGGCAAAAAAATCACTTTCACACTTTTAAATTAAATGTTCCCTCCTGGTTGAATGACCTAATCAACTCAATCTGAGCATCTGACTCCTTAGCCATCTTCAAGAATCGGCTAAAAACACATCTCTTCCATCTTTATTTGACCCTCTAACTCTAGCACTCTTTATTCTAATTCTGTTCTTAAAAAACAAAACACAAAAAGCCTAACACTTGCTTCTCTAGTCTTTTTGTATTCTATTTTTTTTCTACTTTTTATTTATTATAAAATTAACAAAAGTAAAAAAAGGCCTCTAACACTAGCTTGCTCTATTCTTTTTCTAATCTATCGGTTTTCTTTTTATTTATTATATAATAATAATAAAAAAAGCCTTGCTACATGTACTGTATTAAGCGAACTGAGACTTGTTATAGCACTTGCATATCATTGCTCTTTTGTTGGTTTTAATTGCTTCCATTGTCCTCATTTGTAAGTCGCTTTGGATAAAAGCGTCTGCTAAATGACTAAATGTAAATGTAATATTTTTGTGAGAACCGTGATGTTTTTCCAGGATTATTTGATGAATAGAAAGTTCAATAGAACTGCATTTATTTGAAGAAATTTTATATAAATAAATAAAAGA